TATTCAATCTTTTGCCCACATTATAACTCAACAACGAACACTGTATTATAATTTCATGGAAAAAATAAGTATAATGATTTAAACTAAGCAACAAGAACATATCAACTCCAAAACAAAACAAAAAAAATAGTAATTAAAGGGCACATTTTCAATTATAAAATTCAAATCAAATACGGAGTAATCATTTAGGGAAAATTCAAGTTTATCTCTGAAATTAACTTAGATTATATCTCCTCTCACAATATATTATTTTATTTTTATTTTCTAAATAATAAAAGTGAAATAGTAAAGTGGTGCGGAAATAAATGCATGAAGTTGCGAGAGGAGATGAACTGGGAAATGAAGAAATATAATGAAAAAAAGCAGAGACAGGTAAATTACAGGAAAAAAAAAATGAGAAGAAGAAAAAGTGAAAATGACAAAAGAAATTAGAAAGAAGTGAAGAACAAAAGAGCGACAGATTACCAAATTGTTGCGCAGTTGAAGATTTTCAGTGAAGTCTGAGAAATACGGAATTAAACCCGTAACTTTTTATTTCCCTCCTTTTTCTCCAGGTTATGAGTTATGACGCTCCCAAGTCCCCACCATCTCTTTGAACAAATCTTAAGAGAAGACTGCCCTAACCCTCAAGATGTATAGCCCCGGCGTAATTAAACCCCAATGGCTTATAATTATGAAAAAAAAAATGCCGCATGTTAATCATGTCAAAGGGTAAGTGTATTTTAGGAAAATTTGCTATTGCAACCATTTAAAGTTTGTATTTTGTAAATTGCAGTCATTTAAAAAAAATTGCAAATTGCAGCCTAAAAGTACTAATAACTTGTTAATTGCCACCCAAATCAATTTTTTTCCTTAATTTGCGTGTTGAAAAATGTTTCGTAAAGGTTTTAGGGGTCATTTTAGCCCTTAAGAGGTCATTTATTAAAACCTATTGGAATGTTAGAAACTATGGAAAGGAAAGGACATTTAGGAGTTAAGAGGTTGTTCACATGTTCAAAATTAGGTCAAAGACTGAAAATTTAAAATTAAAGTTTTGGAGACTAATCTGGTTATGCTATGACTGGACTGTTCAAAACTGTTGTTCTATTTGGTCCAGTCAAGTTCGTGGGACCGATTTTTGAATTGAATACACGTAATATAATTATTTTTTTGCTGTTTAGAAAACCACAAGGGCGAGTGATGAGAATCGATCCCAGGATCACCTGGAACCGGGAGGGAAGCTTTAAGCCTTTAACCACTTGAGCTATCCCCCACTCTTAATACGTATAATATAATGACATAATGTACCTAGTCTTTTGGAGTCATTGTTTTTGGGTTTGACACTTTTTGTAACATAATTAATTCTATATAATAGGCCAATTCTAAATACTTTTGTCATTAGGGCACAAGTCGGATTGTGCAAGTCCACGTGACATATATTAATTAAGATTCTTGTGCTCAAGTGAGTCGTGTATGAAAGGCGAGGGCAAAGCTATGGGGTTTTGACAAGGGCCTCGATCCCCTGTGGCCCAATTCCGCCCATTAAGGGAGAAGGCAAAGGATGGATTTTTGCTTTCCAACAATTAAGGGAGAAGGCAACCTCGGCTCCAGTAATTTTTGATTCCTAGCTTCACTCCCTATTGGAAGGGGTTAAAAAAAAGTTAGGTCATGCCAAAGTGTCAGACTCATATCGATCTTTCACAATGAAGCTCATGCATGGGGCCACATAACGTGTAGTGGTTGTAATACCCCGTATTTATACGTATTTTAATTTAAAATATTATTTTATGAAACATTTAAATAATTTGAAATGAATTATTTATGGTATTTTATTAATTTAAAAAGAATTATTTTAATTAAAGGTCCATTTTTATTTATTTAATTGTTTTGAAAATATTTTATTTTATTATTTAGAAACTTTGGGGCATATTATTTTATAAAAGGAAATTTAAAGTCAATGGTATTTAAAGAAAGTCAAAGGACTAGTTTGAATAGGAGAATGGATCATTAAGGGTAGAAAGGGAATTTAAGCTTAGGAGGATTTTAGAGAGGGGGTATAAATACCCATCTTATGAGCAAATTAGATTTTGCCCCGGGTGGAGAATACCCAAAGGTAAACTCTCTCTCTCATCTTAATTTCTCTCTCTTTTAATTTTCCCCCTCCCTTTTTAATTTACACACATCACCCCACACACACCACCACCACGGCGGCCGGCTGCCACCACCACAGCCGGCCGCCGCCAGCACAGGGCCGGCAGCAGCAGTAGCGGCGGGGAGGTGGTGCCGGCCACTCTCCCCTCCCCCTTGTTGTGCGTGTGTTTTTTTTTTTTTAAAAAAAAAAAAAACTCTTCTTTTGTTTTAAAATTATTCTAGCCTTGATTCAATTATTATTTTTGGGTTGTGTGATGATTTTTATGATGTTATATTGTAATTATTATGTATATAATTTTCAGATTTAGTTTTCGAATTAAAAAGTCCCAAATTGAAAACCCTAAGTTTCTAAATTACTTTGTGTTGATGGAAATTGATTGTAGGTGATTGAAACTAATAAATTAGATGTTTTTAAACATAATTACAGTAGTTTTACATGTTTTTATAAAGTTGGAATTTTTATATAAAGGTTAGAATTATGTTTCTTGAAAGGATTTTTAATTACCCATCAATTGGGAATAATAGTAAGGATTTTAAAGTAATCTTCAGATTGTTTTAGAGGGTTTATGAGCGTTTAAAGAGTGTATATATTGCTGAAAATTTATATTGAATAGGTATTAATGTCTCTTTGTAATTTTGGGTTGTAGGAGATTTCCAAGTGAGTGATATTGTGTAGTCGTGGTGATTTTGAGATCATATATTCAAGGTACGTTCGCGTACTCGGTAATTATTTAAGTGTATAGAAGCATGCTAGGCTTTGTATAATTAATTGCATGATAGTATCATAATAGGTGTGAATTGGAATTGGTGATTGGATTGATGTTGGTGGTTGATTTGTGATGTATGAATTATTTATCATGGATTAATGATTGGAATTAATTATATTGGCATGTTGATCGAATATAAACTACTCTTTTATTATTGGCATGATTGAGAGCTTATTTAATTAAACTAAATGTTTAATTTGGTTTGGAATATTGAAAGGGAATTTTATTGTAGTTCATATAACTTTTGTTGATGCTTTAAGCATGGGAATTGAGCTATCAAGTGTCTTAGTACACAAGAATAAAATATTGTGCGGTGCTTATGTGCACTTAAGGTGTTCTAAACACCGAGGGATAGAATTTGCGGTGCTTTATGCGCTTAAGGTGTTATTTAACGCCGAGGTAGTACAAAAAGGATTCAACATTAAAATATGTGGTCACTAACTATTCAAGAATTAAATTGGTATGTTTGATTGCTTGAATGATTTATTATGATTGATCGTGTTATGGTTTAAGAGTCGTCCCCAAGTTTAAAAATATGTAAATAACGTAAAGTGAAAGAGATTATGCACCAAAACTCTTGGAACGTATATACCTTGAGTATGGACATATGGGGGAAGTTATGGGGTTTTATATTTAACCATGACTTCTACTGGGAGTACAGGACGCTGTATTTTCCTTTTTATTATTATTATGCGCAGGACGTCCAGTCACTTCATGTGACATTTGCCTACCCAGTTAGCTCCCGGTGTAGTTTACCTCAATTTATTTGGGGCAGAGATTTGGTGGGAAACCCGTTCGATGCGTAATCAAATTAATTAAGCAATTTTATTTATCCATTTCTTTGTTGGTTATGTTGTATGCTTGTAAACAAGTGCAACAAGGTAAGTTGTATGTTGGTAGGATAAAAGCATGTTAGTGTGTACTGTTTACGCTTACGTACTCAACATTGCTGATTGTGTGTTGTGTGTTTGTTTGGCCTTGTCTTTATCTTGGCCATACGACGACCCATTTCTAATGGCGAGTAGTGGGGAAAAAATAAAGAGGAGTTTTTCAGGTGATGAAGCATATTCATGGTAAGCTTGTGTGAAGAGCGAATCATGTTTAATTTTCATAAGAATATGACGTGGTTTGTTGCTTTAATTATTATATATTTTGCTTTTGAGACTAATGCAAAGGTTTTCAAATGTTTTATCTCGGTTTTATTAAGGGCCTACAATGGTTCCAAGTTATAGGTTGACTTTGTTTGACTTTACTTTCATTTGGTTTGACTTTTTAAGTTGACTTGTTTTGAATGGTTTTTAAGAGAGTCTTCTGTTGTGTGTCTTTGATAATTGCCTTAGCCGTTTTCACGGTGGCGGTAATGTCTTAGAATTTTCTATTTCGTATTTCAAAAAAGAGCAAAACAGGTATTTTAATGGAAAGGAATTTCTAGGGTGTTACAATGGTAAATTATGTTGTTCCAACAAGCTCCATTAATAACTTAATTTGTTATTAGTACATAATCTATAACTTTGTAAAAATAAGCAAGATAATATGGTGGCCAACTTGTCATACTTGTGTCGGGTTCATTCCAAATCTATACTATATATTAAAAGACGTTTCTAAACAAGCCTACACATGTCATCACATGGCGCCCTCCTAAATTAATCGAGTCTTTTATTTCACATGCTTAAAAATATGGATTATACAAGATTACCTTAAGTTTAAAAACTAAAGCATTAGCCACTAAGCTACCACCATATTATATGCCATTCTACAAAAATTAAATATAAATAAGAATTTTAATCATGGAATTAATGCAGCAACTCGGGGCATTTCCTGGGCCTAAAAACTTGTTTGATTTGGAAATGATGTATATGCATGGTTCATGGTCAATGGTCCATGTGCATATCTCTGATGCCATGTCAAGTACGTTGCGCGATTTAAAAGCAATATCGATCGAGTAATAATATGGAACATGGATAGTCCCAAATCTATGACTAGTACTTATCTCTAAAGATGTCCCTTCGTTTCCTCTATCCAAAATTCGGACCTACCTCTTGTAAGGGAAACGGGGACCAACAGAAACTACTACTACTACATTACATTCAATCAACTTGAATACTTTTTAGGGTTTCATAATATAACGCAAGTATATATTTATAAATAATATCTATGTCTACATCTTTCACTAGCAAGCCCATTCCTTAATTCACTGCAAAAACCCTCAAGTAGTAAGTAACATTTTGTCATTGTAACATGTGAAATATTATCATCTTACAAATTGAAATGTACAACTTTGATAATTCCATGGAAAATAATGTTGCTCCCACTAACTATGTGCCCTGCTATTTTTATTATTACTACCCTTATTTGAGAAATTATATATTCTAACAATTAGCTACCCAAGAAAAACAAAAAAACAAAAACCCTAAATTTATACCCATAACTTCAAAACACATTACATAGCAAATGTGGAGGTCAAATATGAAGGGAGTAAGTATCATTGTGGAAGAAGAAGAAGGAGAAGACACATGGGAGCTAGCACGCGCGTTCGCCGAGGATACAAGGAGCACCATGGATACAAACTGGCCACCAAGGTCATACACTTGCACTTTTTGTAGGAGAGAATTCAGATCAGCACAAGCTCTAGGTGGTCATATGAATGTCCACCGCCGTGACCGTGCTCGTCTCCACCATCAGTCTACTGTCCAGTCCCAAGCACAAGCCGGCTCCACGGTGAATAATTCTATAAATAGTCCAACTTCTCTCTTTTATCAAGCAGCTAATTGTAGAAGTACTAATAATTTTGAGGTTATGCTGCCTTCTACTAGTAGGTGTACTAATTATATTGGTATGCAAGTTAATGATATTTCACAAGGGGTTATTAAGGTTAATAATCATGAGGAAAGAGCGCCCATTGAAGAACTCGATCTCGAGCTTCGCTTAGGGCATATACCTTTACCAAGACCTTCTGCTTCACATGAGAAATTGTTTGAGAAGAATAGTAATGTGTCTGTTCTTAACTTTAGATGATGATATGATAATGTTGGAATTTTCCAATTTTTTTTTTTTTCCTAATAATGATCAAGATTGAAGAATGGTTTAAGTAGTACATCTATAAGTTTATAAAATCCATTTCTTGTAATTAGTTTGATTAATGTATAATTTTCCTATTGTAAGAAGAGCATTTTTCAGATTATATTTATTTGATGTATATTTTAAGGTTACAGTTCTTACAGATTCAAGGGTTTAATTTGCATAACATGGGCAAAATTGGAGAAAGTTGTGGTAGATATTATTGATATTCATACAGGTTCTGGTCACAATAAGTAGTCTCTAAATCAGTTGAAATCTTAATTATTCACGCTCTCTCTTATTCTTCTCGAAAGATTTCCCATAGAACGGTTACATTCTTTATTCAATATTGATAGTTGCATGGTGCAACTTTTGTCACATCTTCTGAAAAATAGATCAGGGCCCTTGGATTTGAGCTGGGAAATTGGGTTGATTTAAATTAAAATATCTAATTGGATGAAAGATTGTTTGTTGTGTCACATAAGTAATATATATTTCGTACAATACATGATTACACTAGATATATACTGGTTTTTCTTCAACAATAAAACAAGGAGTGTTGTTATTAACCTAAGAAGATTTCATGAGAGTTTTGGTAGATTTAGATGTGCACTCTAGTGCACAGCTTAGTTGTAGCGGATTAGGTCGTTTAATTATCATATATAGCTAGTTTGACTATCAGTTAGGTTAAAGATGTTCGTGTTGGTTGTAATGGATTAGATCGTTTAATCTTTGTATATGGTGTTGTTTCGTAGTGTTATAGATAGGTATGTACAAAATTATCCGAGAATCCGATAATTTGATCCGAATTTTTAGATATCTGATCCGAGTTTTCATTTCAGATCGGATATCCGATTCAAAAAGGCGGTTATCGGATGCGGATTTGGATTTGGATATTGATTTTCAAAATTTCGAATATCTGATATCCGAAATATAAAGGCTAAAATAGTGAAATATATATAAAAATTAAATTGTTCATATAAAACTGACCATGTATTATTAACTTATTATAATATTCTTAATATATTTGACGATAATTTTTATTTCAAAAAGACTACTATTTTGTTAAAATATGTTGTACAACTTAGCGATAAAAAAGCGGTAAAATTAGTGAAATTTAGAAAGTAATCATAATCAATTTTACTTAATATTGGATAATGGATATCCGAAACATCCGATCCGAAAATTTTAGATATCCGAATATCAGATATTCAAAATTTTCAGATCGGATTTGGATATCAGTTATTTTTGATATCCGAGTATTCGGATATCCGATCCAAAATATGATTTCGGATCGAATATCCGAATCGTGAACAGGCCTAGTTATAAACTATTAATTCTATAAGTAGGTTTTTATTCATTCCATGGAACCCCCCATCTAGGGGACCCCATCCCAACTCCTCCCCCCCCCCCCCAATAAAAAATAAATATGGAAAAAACACACTTAATTAATTAGTACATTATGTTTAGTGTCCTAATTAATGTAGATAGGTAACTATCCTATTCAAGGAGTTGTCAATTTGAGAAGGTGACAGTTTTTCATGTTAATTTTAACATGATATGGATGAGGGAATACTAAAGAATACCTTTCTCTATCTTTATGATCCAAATAAAAAGGAGTTGATCCTATGATCAGAAGAAATTGCTGTTTTAGATTGATGTTAGCTTTACTATATGATCGATTTAACATTGTAGGTACTTTATTTCTCCATCTTTTCATAAAATAACTATATTGTGCTCCCTTTATTCGCTAAGAGCTCTTCTTAATTTTCTTTTTTGTGATGAGACAATTACCGTCTAAAAAAAAAAAAAAAACCTTTTAGAGATGAAATACATAGTGTACTCATTACCATACTTGTTAAACCGTCATGAATCATTCAAGGAAGTATATCTCTATACTAGGCAATTTATTTCAATGCCAAATACTTTATAACTTGTATGCAAATGATGAAAACTAGGTAGCACCACAAAAGTAGTAAAAATAAAATTGCATGGGTTTGAGTGACCACAGTGTTGATATTGATAGAGAAGAGAAATATTAGGATGCACTATCCTTTTCTTTCTTTTTGCTTTTTCAGGAAGATAGCATTGCACTGTCAACGTATATATGTCTCTATATTTGTTTTCTGTCATATCTATATTTATATGAATAAGAGTATGAATAAATATATCCGTGGGCATCATTTGGCTTATGAAATCATTGTACATACATATTGAAAATCAATAGACATCTTTATTTTTTTTTTCTTGCAATGCCAGATTTAATTGATTGTATTATTTACATCACTTCCATAAATCTCAGCTCCATGGAAGAAATCAAATTAGATTAATGTTGAATGAAAAAAGAACAAGATAGAATGAACTTATGTTGTTGATTTTGTTTATATAGGTACAATGAATGGTCATGCACACACTAGATCAACTTCGACGGGCGTCACACTATAATATATATAATAATTCTTGTCCCAAAATCAACTTCGACGCGTCACACTATAATAGACATTATCCAACCCCCTCACATGCCTCAACCCATTTCAGACCATGAGTGGCTATGTGCAAACCTAAACCTGACCACACATCACAACACCATAGGTCTCCCTGGGAACCAATCCTTTGCCATTCTGACTTGGAAACTTTGGCTTAAAAGAAATGAGTGAGTCTTTAACAGAAAGTCTAGTCTAGCTCTATCCCTTGTCTGCTCTGCTAAACACTTAGTCAATGAACTCTCTCTCCTTGGTCCTTGCTCTACACCAGCCACAAACATCAATCATCATCAGCCCCCCTAACCACCCATCCTATGACTTTGGCAATCATTACTGATTTTGCAGGGACCTGCTAAAAAAGACCCCAAGGGGAAGGCTGTGCAAGGTGCCCAGAGCTCAGGTCAATGAAGCAAATGTGGTGGCTAGGGAAGCTATGCAGCGTCTAACACCTTCCAGCAACCATGATTGGAGACTGCATGTGTAATTATTCTACCTGCAGAGGCAGGGGTACTGGGGTAGTGATCTATAATAGCAGTAACTTTTCTTTTAGCAGCAAACTTATTAACTTCGCTAATCAGCAAACTACTTTGGGTGCTGTGACACCTCTTTTGGAACCACCTTAGCTTATGGTGGTTAATTAACCTTGTAACTGGGCCTAGGCCTGTTAACTCTGTAGGATTCTGTTTAACTATATAATCTAGTTCACTTTCTCCCCCCCCCCCCAAAAAAAAAAAAATAGAGCCCTAGTAAAAATTTCACCCATGACTTTAAGATCATAATTAATAAAGGTCAAACAAGGATGTAACATCTGATAGATTGGACAACCTGTCCATTCATTAGTTCTTCCACATTATATGTATAATACGATAGATTTATTGTACATTTAAACTTTTAAGACAACTATATGTATTGTGACTGAATAGCTTTTGCTATGTAATATTCCCTCTGTTCCTAATTTTTTGGCCCATTGTCAAAAGTTGGGTCTAACTTTGAAAACATTGACCATGACACTACTATTTCTAAAAAAAAAATTCCCAACGAATGGTTATTCGATACAATATTCGTCATTACCATAGCCTTTAGTAGTGTTTTTCGCTTTTGCTGAGGTTGTCCTCATTAATCGGTACTGAAAACTACATTCAATTATGGTGATTATTGCAGCGATTATAATTGCTACAAATGTAAACTCATTTTCTACAACAAAAAAAAAAAAAAAAAAAAATCCCTACATGTGATCCCTATACAAGGTTTGAATATCAAGCTCTAATATTAAATGTTTATCCAATAAGCCATGATATATTTTATGTTCTCTTAGTCAAACAAAATTTTAAAATCTAATGTAAAAAAGGCTTTTCGTATCGATTTTTGGGCTTTAGTGGCGATCATGTAAACGATACGCTTTTCCATAATTTTATAAACGTGAAGAAAAAAAGTGAATAAATATTATTATATTTTTCGTATCGATTTCATATGGGTTTACTATGTCGATTAGATTCCTCTATTATTTCACAAACACATGTGCATATTGTAGCGAATGTATAATCGCTACGAAAAGACAATTTTCTTGTAGAGTGAATTCTCATTGTTCTACAATAGGTAATATAGTCATGTGAGATTTTGTTTTATTCGTTTCATTATATATTTTATTAATATCAACTTTTTATAATTTTTATGTATTTTGAATTGGAGATATAAACGTTTTAACACATGTCTTGAAGACCGTGAAAAGTCAAATGGGACAAAAAAAATAGGGACAGAGGGAGTATAATAATTTTTTAAATTAGAACTATATCATACTTTGTATTTAGTTTGAGATGTATGGTATGGTGACCGATGATCAATCTATTAATTTAAAGAATGGGAGTTCTTGCGAGGACCACATTAAAAATTTGAGGGTGGCAATGGTCCTATCTTTATGCATGGATATTAATAGTTCCTTCAGTTTTTGCATAGTGTAATAGTTAGTTGAGAATGAAGTAATGAACCCGTCAAAACAAACAAAAAAAAATTAAAATAAAAGAAGTAATGAAGAACTAAGAAGAAGACATTAGTTCAATAGTAATGAATTGAATGAGAAATGAGTGATGACATATTCCTAAAAATGTGGAAATAAATGAAAACTTTGAGAAGAAACATGATATATAGTTGGAATGTAATGGAATCATGAAAGCTCCATCCATTATTCATCTTCAATTCAATTCGTTCCCAATTTGAAGTAATCATTTCGTTCATATAAATGCATGTTTTTTAGGTCAAATGCATGGTTCATTGGTTGCATTGGACACGTGCATGAGCTCTGCTATCCATACTTAATTATGGTATTGGTTGCTTTTCTAATTGCAAGCGGTCGTTCCAAAAAAAAAAACACATACCAAGTACAGTATTAGTTACTCATTTTTTTCAGAATTTTAACTATTATGTGGCACGAGTAGTAATGTCAAAAACCGAACCGAATCGAACTGGTTAAACCGAACCTATTCAAACCGATCCGAATGAGAACCGAACCGATTAAAAACCGATTTTTTTAAACCGAAAACCGACCCGAACCGCATTTTAGTAAACCCGAAGCCGAACCGATCCGAGTAACGTTAAACCGTTTAACAACCG